TATCTCCCCTTGCACTTTGTACTAAGCGCGATACAAACTTTGCACTTGAGTGATTGATTTATGGTATGTCCTACGTTGTATCTCGGCCCATGGTGTGATGCCAGTATGAAAGAGGCAAATGTTTGCATCCTTTACGTAAACTTAATCTCCGGTTAATCTACAGCCGAGGCCGATGTGCCACTCAGTATTCCAGCTATATGACAGCACCTGTAAATAATCGATAAATAAATAATAAACGTCATTTCAGGCAAAGTAAAATTACCGAAAATAACCTCTGAAAAGTATGTACATCACACAGTACGAAATCGCCATTCACGGCGTCATTTGGTGCATATTTTGCTGAACTGTACAAATCGTATATATATATACCCTCGATTGTAATGTGAAAATACAAGATTAGTGATCACTGATATGTACTTTTCATCAAATCAGTAGTAGTACATTCTGAAACGTCGCCTTTCACATCCTTTCACACTCAGCCTCAACTCATGCATCATGCAACTCATCCAATAATTCCGCAAACAATTTAGAATCAATTTACTAAGGATATTTGTCAGCAATACAAAGTGTTTCCATAGAAACAAGCGAAATATATGAGGTGTGAAAACAAACCCTGTCACGGGCTGTGCTCTGAAGACGCCATTTGTATGAAATGTAGACAAAGTAAAAAATATTGACATGTCCATTCTTCTATTCGTTGTATTCATTGGCCTTCTATTATTAAAATACACATTTGATGATTATGGTAACAAGAACTTTGAAATAAATAATTGATACAATGCAATGATTTGGTAAATTCAAAACAAATTGGCAAAGCTTTTGGTCCTGCGTGACGGCGATGACTGACGGAATTTATCGGCATAGCTAACCATTTTCCTTTGGTTAAATTGAAAAGCATGAAAAAAGATAGCAATACGCTGATTATCAGAATGTTTCTAAGTACATGTACTTACATCCACTCATGTATGAAGACACGATCCCGGAATCAACGAAAGATCAGTCACAAAGTATCGCGGAGCACGCCATTTTGAGTGCCGTTTTCTAAAGGTCGGTCACCGGTAGTGATGTCATACATCAACATTATTGTACATGATCTGACGTACAAAACAAAGTACATATATGGTGTTTGGGGATTATGTGTACAATAACAAACGACTTAAATGTTTTTGAAAAGTGATTTCACTGTGTGTTTTTCCAATCATATAAATCCAATGCTGAAAATATTTTGAACTATATTGTATATATTTTTATTATATACGTTTATTTACATGATCTGAGTTACCTCCCTTTTTATTTATGGGTGTGTAACCTCACAGTTGTCATATTGGGGAATAGCATCATTTATGGCAAGCCATTGTTTAAATTGAATAAATAAACTTACACATAAACATTCATATACTTTTGATATATTTGTGTCATTCAGGTATGGGGCAGTTCACAGTTTCTGTCAAATGTAACAACGTTTTTGCACAATTCATATGTTAGTGTTTTAACGCAAAACATTATTCATAGTTCTAACACATTTCGGACAACACTTAGGAGTGTCCTTTTTCAAACCGTATTTCCTCTTGAATTTACACCACCAGATAGGAAATTTGATACTCTACACCATTTTATAGCCACAGGTGCAAGAGATAAATTCTCAAACAACATTCACGTTTTGAGATCTTTTTCAGCACACGTTTCATTTGGGATTACTCTTTCTCATCAAAGTACAGATTTTAGTACTCTTGAGTCCCATCCGGGATTCGAACCCCCACTCTCAGATGACAACATAGAAGTAGTAATCGTTGTAGTGCATGCAATTTAGTTGCCTGAAAAATGCAAGGGATGTTATTATTTAAAGAATGTGGACGGAACTTAATTCATTGTTGTCAAAATAACACTTACCCGTATTGGCTGTGTTCTAATGTACATAATTGTAGATGCACATTTACCAAAATGGTAATTTTTTAAAACATACTATCACCATCAGAGTTATTTCCAGATAACGCTCATGCTGTTGATCACTGGATAGTCTGGTTCAGACTCGATTGTTTAAAGACCGCCGCCATATCTAGCTGGAATATTGCTGAGTGTGGCGTAAAATTAAACTCACTCACTCAACAAGATTACGGCATCCGATGCGCAATACTATATACTTTCAATTTTTCTCAAAGTTTAAGTCCACCATCCTTACGGATGATAGCCTAGTATATCGTCTCACTGGAGCTGATGATGGTGTAAGAAACCAGGTTGAAGCCATTGGGTTTACGTCTTCAACTGAAAACTAGTGGCTGATGGCAGCTAGTACGCCTGCATGCTACAAAAGATACAGATTGCATGCTACAAAAGATACAGAAGCATGCCAGGGGATTCACGAAGCAACCCCCCATGCTTTTACACTGCACTAAGGTTACCTTAGTGACTTACGATAACCTTAGTGCTTTGTGAACGGAGGCCCAGGTCACCTGTTGTGATGAGCATTGTGTACCTGTGGTGTTTGGTCCCATTCCACAAAGCATTCATACACTACGACTGGCTTAAGTCATTGTTAACGTTTGGACTTTGCGATACGACCGTCTTGCCGCTAAGATCACTTTATCGAACGCAATGCAATGCAGATGTGTGTTTGGGACCTTTACCCGAACCCACCATTCTTTACATTTTCTTCTTTAAAATGAAACAATGAACATGTTTAGAAATAGAATACAATTTATTACAAAAACAAAAAACAATAACATCAAAATAATTACCAAAATATTTTTTGGGTATAGACACATGATGTAGAAATGTAAAACCGTGATTAAGAAAAAACAGTTTCGACTGAGATCCAAGTTCGTTTGTATCAAATCCGAGTTCCATAAAGCAGCGTCCAAAAAAGTTCCATGTTGAAAGCACCATGAGGAAAATTCTGAGAAATCTGGCTGTTATATCAATATCCATATCTGTGTCCATTCTGGGCATAGCCGTAGTTGTCACTGCCATGTCCGTATCCATTCTGAGAATATCCACAGTTGTAATTTCCATATCCGTATCCATTCTGGGCATATGCATGGTTGTCAGTGGCATATCCACATCGAGTTGGATGATATCCATATTCGTTGATGTTGTGGGTGGCGCTGTAGCCGTAGGGGAGTGCTACCTGTGAAACAATGGCGGCTTCATTAGTTCCCAGAGCATTCGCAGACATTAGGTAAGACAGTGTTAAAGAGTCCTAGCTGTGATGAAACAGGCGTCAACTCCAGGCTAATATGACTATGTCATCGTTTGATTTAGTTGGAAAGTAGCAGAAAATAGGTCAAAGAACCCAGGTTTTATAAAGCAGACATCGCTTTCAGACCCCTAGTTTTGGATACGACGAAGCAAGTGACACGTGACCAGACAAGCAGGTCAGAAGCCACCAATCATTGTAAGGTTGCTCATTTTGAAAAAAGGCTACTGGTTAAATATGTTAATTACTCTTTCTTTGGCATGCATTACATAGTCGGTGCTATCTGGCAATAGACTCATGTCATAGAATTCGGAGCATGTGGATTTACACTGAAGAAAATAGCAATGACCAACCTGTTGATGTGTGTATTCACACTGACGAGTCTGTTCAACGTCACCAGGTTGGTTGAAACAAAGGATGTACTTACATCAGGGAGAATACACGCTTGAGTGTAGCATTGAAGGAGCCGAATCAGTTCCATGTTCCTTTGAGGACATGAGACAATGGGACATATGCATATATATGAGTAAGCTAAGACTGAGATCGGTGTATTATTCTGAACACATGTGGCAGTCTGTATTACCTGGCGTGGATGGACGTGCTGGTGAGGTCAGGACCCGCCCCCTCACTGACGTCACTCAAACAGGCCACGTGCAAGGCTAAGGAGAGGGTAAAGCACGTGATACAGAACAGAAGAAAATAGACGAACAAAACATAAAAAGATCAGACGGAAATCAGAGTGAAAGAGAAAATGTTATAAAGAAAACATAGATGTAGAGGTTTGGTGGAAAGCGTAAGCAAAGAAAAGTGTTAGAATAGAGAGAACTAGATGTGATCAAGAGACACTGAGATCACAGGATCAAGCATAGAAAGAGATATAAATTACGATACAGGGATTGGGAAAGGCAGGGGCCATGGCCATGTTGCACATTAGAATAAAAAATGGCCCATTAAAATTTTGAAGTTTACGATTGATACAAGGGCAGTGGCCCATTCTAAATTCAGAAAATGGCTAATAATACTGAAAATGGCCCATTGTCAAAGTTCTCTATCCCAATCCCTGACGATAGCATATGAAAATATAAGGTAAACTATGAGAACAGTGAAAAACGATTTCACTTGAGAGTCAAGAGCAAATTAGAAACAAAGTTGCTAGATTCTTGTGTAAGGGAAACCTTGATTCCCCCTCCCACTATGATTCCGTGTGTATTCCTAGGAAGACACAGTTTGCTGCTTCTAGACAGACTGCAACCCATTGCGACAGGCGACTCTGAGTGTTCCTCCACAGTAAATCTATTTACTTTACTACTAAATTTGTGTAAGGATATTCCATGACACACCGACCCGAATAGTCACAAGGTGTATGTGTGGCAGTATCCCTATCAGTGTTGAGTAGTATAGACACAGAGTGGCCCATGTCACAATGTAGACTTTACCTTCCACGACCCGTCTGATGTCCTGGACGCGCTCATCACCCAACATCTCCAGGAACAACGTCTCCAGGAACAGCTTCTCCTGCAGCTGTAACGTAGGGACCATCGTTAACAACTTAGTGGTAAGAGTGGTCGAAGGAAAACGTATCCTTGTGATGACGTTAAGGGTGCTTGTGTAAAACCAGTATAAACATATATTTTACAAAGTGATCTCGTTGCGACTTAGAGTATCCCTAGCAAAGGGATTTCTTCAACACAATCCAGACAGATGTTTCTGTAACGTTTCCATAACAAGTTTGGGTGTGTGGAAGACTAAAGGGGATAGAATCTTCAAATCTTGACAAATATATACATGTACCGACAGTTAAACTCACCCGTTTTCTATGCCTCCACCCCCCTTACTTGCCCCGTCTGGACTTCTTACCAACCTTGGGCAGAGCTACAGGAGGCTGAATCAGAGGGAGAAGAGCGGTTGATTATACATATATTAATTACAGAGAATAATTACAAAATAATATTTTGGTTGGTAATAATTTGCGGTACTACATAAAGGTTTATACTGTAGGTCCACAACCTGTAGAAATAATACACAGATATGTTTATGGACACACCTGGGTTCATAAAAGGAATACAAGGGACAGCTTTATATTTAGTTTTGTTATAAGCATTTATGCTGTGTCTCAGCTGTGAACATTTGATCTATATTGGTATGTTGGACATTTTCTTTTTCTAAACTGAGGGTCTAAAGAAAGACCCCAGTATAGGGACTTCCGATATATCAAAACTCGCTTTCTGCAATTACTGTAAATTAGTGGTGTTCCGATGATCGAAAATAATCGAAAATCGATCGAAAGGATTAAAAATGATTATCGATTGTAAAAAAACATATTTTCGATTAGTTGGAATTTTGTTGATTTAGTTTACCGCACTTGAATGAAGTAAACTAGCGATTAAATTTGAGGAATATTCACGAACAAACATGCGCTCAACAGCGTAAAGCTATGCGCATTATAAAACTACTTTTATTGTTTAATTACAATAAAAGTGTCTTTCTTGCATTTCATTGCATGACAGTATTAGTTATAAGAAACATGTATTAGAAAACACCTGGTGAAAACCCCTTCAAATTGGTGATTTAATTAAAAATGTATATATTTCGATTATAATCGATAATCGTTCACCACAATCCTCCGATAATCGATGTGGATTTGGTTTCAGAATTCCAACACTACTGCAAATTACCATTGAAAGATTGGAGGTGATGCTTGCTGTGTTATGTAAAAGATAAATGTTTAGGAATGAATAAAGATCTCACCCCAGCAACAATGACCCTTTGTTCTGGCATCTCGTTGACACAGGTCAACTGAAGATGGAGGAGAGAGAAAGGAATTAACATGTCGTGGGTGAATCAGTACAAGAGGATAATGTCTAATTTCTTAATAATAAATATCTTAATCATAGTTCAGTTGTTTTGATTTCACTTAACAAGATGTATATTTTCAAGAAATCCCCCATTGTCACACTACTGAGTTGGATTTTATGCCGCTTGCATCAGGTCTATTCATATCACATCTCCATACATTGTGGATCAACGCTTTAATCGTTATGTGTCAGCAATGACTCAAATATTACCTTGGCCATATCCTGGGCATATTGAATCGATCCAGACAATCGCACACCGGACCTCCGACGGGGTTCTGTTGAAGGTTGAAAGGATAAGAAAAAGTAGATCTACAGTTTGTTCACTGTAATAGTTTATAATTGGTGGGAGTGAGTGGTGAAAGCACGCGAGTTTACTTTTGGTTAAGGTTAGGGATAGGGTAAGGTTTAGGGTTAGGGTGACGTGACACTAAACAATATGGTTGGTATGTATCCGGTATTCTGTAGGTGTACCAAACCTTACCCTATCCCTAACTCTACGTTCCTAACCCTAACATAACGAGTCCGGTAATTCCGCGCGACCGGTAATTCTGCGCAGCTGCAATAGCGTACTTCCGTATCGAGGTAAACATCGTCTGTTACCACATTTACGCTTGAAATCGGGACATTTCTACAAGGGACTGGCTTTTAATCACTAAAGGTAAGTAAATAACAGTAATTGACAGATACATTGACAGTTTTATGAAAATTCGTTTTCTTCAGACTTTTAAACCTTTTTCTTCATTATTCATAATTGGATTTAATATGAAACACTCTTTCTTACATTGATGAAGTGATTTTTGAAAATAATCTGGCCCTAATACGCTTCCATACTTCGGATCTCCGGTTATGCGCATCAGTTGATGCGTAGAATTACCGGACAGCAAGCGATGTCGTCAGAACGCCGGAATGGTCAACCGTATGGCATAATGCAACGTTACGGTTAGAATCTTATAGTTGTCAATAAAACTTATATTTCTAGGTAAATATGATGCATACCATCATGTTCAGTCACATAAACCACACAAAATAAGAGAAGTTAGTTGCCGTGTTGGGATCGATGTGCTTAAGTGCGCGGAATTATCGGACGGCATTGTAAACGTTACCCTAACCCTAACCAAAAGTAAACTCGCGTGCTTTCAAAGATCATGAGATGGCGGAAGGTATTCTGTAACAATATTCGCCTTTTCAGTAATACAGTTCATGTCTCATCGGCAAGGTGTAATTCTCGCTGATCATGTTGACGAAACTCAAAAACAAGAACATTTCTTTTTCTTATATGGATGGTAAAGTCTCAAAACTATCAATATATTATCACTCGCTATTCTGAACATGCCCCTTGACCTGCACTGTCTTACCGGTGTTTCTCATTTTCGTAGAACTGAGGGATGTGGTGAAAAAAGTAAAGCGTGTCGACGTGTAAAATTACAGCTGTCAGTAACCACAATATGGCGTCGTGACAATAACGACGGCGTCATGACAACGTTGGTAGCGCCACGTTGCGTCCTTTGTTTTAATTATCTCCCCTTGATGTTTGTACATAGCGCGCTGCAAACTTACATTCACTCGAGACAATATTTCAAATGTTATCTGTCCCAATAAACATTGACTCGGCATTGGGTGAAAGAGGTAGATCAGTATTTAGCCGATTCGGAGCAATGCTTGTTTAGGCTACTCAGTTGATTTAGCGTGTCGGGAAGGAGTGTCATATCACAGGGGCTTGTAACGCTAAAAACTGCCATCAAGGTATGTACTGTCACTGACGGGGTCTTAGTATATATATATAAGGTTGAATCATTTTATATAGTACTAAGACCCCGTCAGTGACAGTACATACCTTGATGGCAGTTTTTAGAGTTACAAATCCCTGTGTGTCATATGGCCTTTGATATGGACAAGACTGCTTATATTGCGTCTTAACCAACGTTGTCTGTATCATGATGCTGTATTTTGTCGGGCCCCGTGTATCACAACGTTAACGACACCGTTAAATCTACCATTGTACCATTGTATCATGTACAGGGCAGTGTATGTATACCATATATTTGTGTTGCTACTGGTGTTGTCACCAGAGATTGTTGCGGGATAATCATTATAATCTCAACTAGATAATCTAATATAAACCTTTATAGTCACAATATTAATGTAGATTCTATTTATGGTATTTAGTACACATTATAACATCTAACTACGGTGTGACAAATGAAATAATAGCTAATAGTTTTGATGGCATCCCATCAGAATGTGCTGTTTTTGTTGTAAATTGTTGATATATTACAGTTGGTTACGATCTAAACTAAAAACCAAAAAAATATCAAACATAATTAAAACACAATTATCACTTATTCATGACATATAATATACATTGCTGATTATGAAAAAACATATAAACAAAATTATAAGCGTACAATCGCAAATCAAAAGTGCAATACTTCGTACTTGGGTTTGCTTCCCTCAAAACGAAGCACCCCGGGATACCGAACCCAGTCAGAGCGGGTGGGTGTGCACTCAAGTGTAACGGCTGGTTCATTTGCAGATGCCCTCATGGTTCATTGTGTGTGCATATATAAAGATGTTGGGTTTTGTAAATACATGCTCATTTTTTGTGCATAACATTTTGCAATCAACAGACATCATAACATGTCATGTGTACAAGTATCACACCTGCCTGTCTGTGTACTTACATAATGTGACAGAGACCGAACTCGGGCCATAAATCAATGCGTTTGTTTATGGTGTCTAGCCTAATAGGTGTTAAGTTCAAATTGCATGTGGTCAGTGATCGAAGTTGTGTATTGAATATTGTCATTAGCAGACAGGCAGGCAGACACATCTATAGGTGCCAATAAAACAGACATTGAGTTTTGTCTGTGACAACGACATATCTATATCACAGTTAGAAATTCTGTCGACGCTAAATAATGACATTGCTTTTAAGTATCGAACTGAGAAAGTGACTCGGTAAGAAGAACGTGTGGTGAAATAGACAAATGAAATTATAAACAGTTCAATCGGTAATCTACTGTCATAACATATAAAAAGCTCGCGCCAGTGATCAAACCGGTAGACTGCACTTTACGGGTCCCCGGAAGTTTAGCTACAGACATGCGCAGAAGCCATATTTACATCGAAGCGAGCACTAACGCTGACGCCATTTTTTGTTTGCTCCAGCGAATAACAACATCGCTGTTTTGGTCCATTCAATTACCCTTGGATACTAATCGATACAATAAACAAAACAGGTAAGTTAACATGATGTAGCACAGCGTGATAACAAATATCGAAACGCTTCACTTACCTTATATTACAAGAACAAATCTGCGCCTCAATTGAATTGACTTACCTCACAAGAACAAATCCGCACTTGAATTAAATACATCGGGTACATCATGTGAGCTTTCATTTTGGGGGATGTCATTTTCTTTATTTCCAGTTTCAACTATTTTAAAATATTGATGGGTTTTGGGGTCAAATACACGGCGGATAAAAGTAAGAAATGTAACGAAAGGATCATCAGAACAACGTAAATATTTCTTCCTCACAATGTACTCAACAAAATAACTATCATACAATCCTTTCGTAGTTCCATACCTGGGCAGGGACGCTTTCACCGCTCTCCACGTACTCTCAATTTTATTAGTGCACGCACCATTCTCTGCATTCACAAATTCCTTACTATGATTCACTGTCACATGCTCGTATCCCATCTCATTCAGCCTAGCATACGCCTTCCAACAATCAGAATGAATAATCGATCCCGGTCGCACCCACTTTCTCAGCACACTCAAAAGGGTATCTGCATCACGCTTCTCCACAACTTCCAAAAACATCCGGTTACTTTCTTTCTCGATACCCCCAAACACCCACACACCATCCACTCGCCTTCCTCGGTGAAACTTACGCTTCCCAAACTTACTCTCATCAATCTCAACTTCAATCCCTGGCCCACCTATCATCTCATTCTCCTCTTCCATCACAAACAAACACACATCTCTACAATAATTAAACCAATCAACCAAAGTGTGGTCAGACCCCAGACGCAACTGCACTCTCACAAAATTCTCTCTCACTTGATAAACCCAATAAAATGTCAATTTCATAATTTCACTAACGGACAAATGAGACTTAAAAAACCAAGAATCACGCCTTGCTACAATTTTATGATTGCATATTTTATTTGAACAACGCCACACATAACCCTCACTCCGACTCGAATCCTTTCGCTTTCCTATACTCCCACTGTCACACTTCACACACTTCCCACTGAAATTTCCAATCAAACCAAACGCTTCCAACCAATCCATCAACTTTCTCTCATCTCTACACAGCTCATACAAATCATCATACACCATTCTCCTTACAGCCATAGCTAAGCAAGTCAAATAAACAAGATTGAAATCAGGCGACAAGCAAAATACAACTCACCAACCGTGCGCGTTAAAGTTGTGGCAGTCGTAGTAACCCACTACCTTATTTGGAACATTCGACACGTGCGTCCACAATTGACCAATCAAATAAAAGGAACGTCATCGGGATTTCCCCTTGATTACTAACGATTGGATTGATGTTTTGGAGCATTACTAAAATTCGTGTTTAAAACTATCGTCTTTCAGACGATGTTTTAAATTAAACTTTTGCCAGTGAACACGAAAATGACCTCTAATTTCGTCTAAAATGTCTCCTAACGGAGATCAGCCCGCTCTCGCGTGCTTCTCTATATCTATGACAGCAAATGCGCCTTCGGCGCGTTCTCGCGCAAAGCGCGAGCTATAAAGAATACATTTCTACTTCCGGCTCTGGGGACCTGTAAACTGCAGGTGTCCCACTATGTCCATAAAAATGACATTTCTACTTCACAATGGGTCGTAATAATAATGACCCGTCAAACAACAGTGTGTAGCGCCATATCCAATATCACCTCCGGTTCCAGCTTGTTAATGTATAGTATGACCAGAAATGATTGAGAATTTTAGGAATATGTTTAATTGGTTTTCTAGAATAAACAACCTTGACCAGGTATCAAGTGCTTGGTTTCATTCAAGAGAGACAACTCCGTTAATCCTTTTTCATTAGTTTGTGAAGAGTTATCCTCCTTTGTTTACTTGCTAGCAGACGACATTTTCAGTGATCCTCAGTATGGATGATTTAGAGAAGAGGAAGTTGATTTTAGAGTATTATAACAAGGACATCAGATCAGCTACAGTGATTTCAAGTAGAACAGGCATCCCTTTGTCCACTGTTTATCGTGTTTTGAAAATATTGCAAATGGATATGGCATTGAGCACCAGGGAGACGCAGGTAGGCCCAGAAAATTGACTGTCGGTGACAGGAGGCGGCTTGGTATTCTTGATTCTAAAAACAAACGAAGGAGTTTAGAAAACTCAAGGCTGGATATGATTGATAGAGGAACTGTGGCTGTCTGTAAGGAGACAATTAGAACTGAACTGCATGCAATGGGTTGGCAGAAAAGTCGAGTTCATGAAACCTGAACAAAAGGAGCGAAGGTTGAACTGGTGCTTACAGCATAGAAATTTTAACTGGGACAATGTGATTTTCTCAGATAAAAGTTCTGTGTGGCTGTTTCCTAATACACTGAAATTCTGGACCAAACAAACTGAAAAACCTTTGTATCAGCGCCAAAAGTACAGTCCGAAATTTAACGTGTGGGGTGGCATATCTGTGTTAGGGGCAATGCCCCTCTGTGTATTTGACGGGAATATGAACAGTGAGCGGTACACAGATATTATCGAGAACATTTACTTCCATCTGCTCACGTGTTCTATGAAATTTTTTGATTTTCCAGCAGGACAACGACCCAAAACATCGTTCAAAACATTCACAGACCTGGTTTCGGACCCAAAATATGACATTATTAGATTGGCTAAGCCATAGCCCTGACCTAAATCAAATAGAAAATGTTTGGGGACTACTGAAGGAAAGTGTCAATAAGAAAAATCTGACAAATATTGCTGAAATGAAAGAAGAGGTGGTCCGATATTGTTCTCAGTATATTAAATCCCGCACCGTTTTACTGACGCTTAGTCTCTGAATATATATAATTTTGATAGTAACAAATCAACCCATTTAAATTGATAGGAGCCCCAGTCAGATGGGAAATTCAGAAATCTAAGCCTGGTTCATTTAGGGCTTTAGCTTTGCAGAGAGGGATCGGCAGTACGGAAAACAATGTGGTTCAGGGACTGTGAGGCAGACTAGTAAAGGCCTCGTGTCCTTTGAACTGTTTCAATGCGATATGAAAACGAAAATATGTCGACGAGTAAACTGACAGTTATAAAAAAACACATAGACTAACGCTTAGTTTCTAAATATATATAATTTTGAAAGTAACAAACAAGCCCAAATAAATTGAAAAAGAGACCCAGGGAGACCAGAGATTCAGAACTTGAGGAAATCTAGACTTGCTTCATTTAGGGCTTTAGCACTGCAGATATGACTTGGCAGTAGGGAAAATTATGTGGTTCAGGGACTGTGAGACAGACTAAAAAATCACA